CGCTCCTGATTGGCTGGTGGGCGTGGCTGGTGGGCGTGGCATATGAGTGTAGCAGAGATATGGTCAATTTGCATGTTTCTCTTTTAAAAAAATTTTTTTTAGATTAAATATTTATTGTTTGCATGTTTCTCTTTTATTAGATAAGATAAAAGCCTAAGTGACCGAACGACTGGCCTGACCAGCTGACCGGCTGACTGGTTGGTAGCTATGACGTGCACTGACCACCAGGGGGCAGATGCTCAATGATGGGGCTGCCCACTGATGGTCAGTGCGCTCCCACAGCCAACCTCCCACAATCCCTCCCCCTGGCCAGCCAGGCCCAATCGGCCCTGATTGCTGGCTAGGCCGGGACCCCACCCGTGAATGAACTAGTCCAGAAGCTCACCTTGGGCCCTGGCTGTGTCCTGTTTGTTCTTGTGTCCCTGGGCCTTTTAGTAATGCCTTACACATAACATGCCTCATTTTTATTTAGCTCACCCATAGGTAACTGCTGTGGTTCCTGGTTCCAGGTGAACTTCAGACCTTAGTTTCCTTTTTGCACTCTTCCCTAGTAGAGAACCCGGGTAGGATGTCCTATAGGGGGCCCGGGCAGGATGTCCTATAGCAGTGGTTCTCAACCTTCTGGCCCTTTAAATACAGTTCCTCATGTTGTGACCCAACCATAAAATTATTTTCGTTGCTACTTCATAACTGTAATGTTGCTACTGTTGTGAATCGTAATGTAAATATCTGATATGCAGGATGGTCTTAGGTGACCCCTGTGAAAGGGTCGTTCAACCGCCAAAGGGGTCTTGACCCACAGGTTGAGAACCCCTGTCCTATAGGGAACCCGGGCAGGATGTCCTATAGGGGGCCTGGGCAGGATGTGGGTGGAAGGAAAAGATTTTTACTTCCTCCTCCTGGGTCATCTTCCAAATCCTCCTGCACCTCCTTTTCTAAGTCCTCCACATCCTCTCCTGTTTACTTTCTAAGTTTTCTGAATTATTTAAAATATAAAGTCTTTATGTAATTTTGTTGCTGTATGAAGTTTTGCCTATATGTTTGTCAGTTTGCTTTTGATCTCTTTTTTTTAAAATATATTTTTATTGATTTCAAAGAAGAAGGGAGAAGGAAAGGGAAAGATAGAAACATCAATGATGAGAGAGAATCATTGATCGGCTGCCTCCTGCTCGCCCCCCACTGGGGCTGGAGCCTGCAACCTGGGCATGTGCCCTGACCGGGAATTGAACCGTGACCTCCTGGTTCATAGGTCAACGCTCAACCACTGAGCCACGCCGGCCGGGCGCTTTCGATCTCTTTTTATGATTCAATTGTAAATGCTTAGAAACTTCTTCCTGGGGGTGGGGGGGAGGTTCCGAGAGGAGAATGCATAATTATTTGCTTATGTATCTAAATATGTCTGTGGAAAGACACAGAAAAGGGGTCATTATTTGCTTAGGCAGGGAAATCGGGTGGCTGGGCAGCCGTGTGACTGTAGTCCCTGAATACCTGAGATGGAGGAAGTGTTCGAAAGCATGGGGAAAAAGTACCAAAATCCAGTTTAGTAAGAATAAGAGAGGATTGTCCATTCCTTTTTTTTTAAGAAAAAGAAGAGGAAATGGGGTCCCAGTCTGTGCAATGCCTAGGGCTTCCAGTGGTTTTCATTCTGCATGTGATCCATGGGAATTTGGGGCCAATTTTTGAGTGTGCTAGAATTCTAACAGAGAGCTTTTATATTATACATATATTATAAGCCACTCTTAGACTGGAATGAGCGGGATCATTTTTCTCCCTGGAATGGAGGCTTGGCTGTCTTGCCCCATTCTTCCCAGGTAAACACGAAGTCTGACCTCCTTTCTCTGAGTCAGCACAGAACTAGGCCAGACTTGTAGGCCAGACTTGTAATAGCAAGGGTTTGAAGGTGGGGAGAGGAAACTCACTGGGCATGCGGCCTTCGAAAGTTACCTTTGCCTCAGTTCCTTCATCTGTAAAATAGGGATTAATACGTACTTTATAGAGTTGGTTGGAGAATTAGAGATGGTATGTATACATTGTCCAGCATGGAAGCTGACACCCAGGTAGATTCTTTAAAATGGTGTTATCATCATTATTGGTTAGTGCCGATTGATTTTAGGCTCCTTGAAGGAGTAAAGGACATGGGATTCTTTCCGTTGAGAATGACAGGTAGATGTTTAGGGGAGGAAGGAGTGGGTCAATTATCTCTTGGTGTGGTTTGACTAGGTCAGGGGTGGGCAACCTTTTTGTGAGTGCGTGCCAAAACCAGCAAAATCTCTGACTCAAAATTCTTCTGCGTGCCAACCCTAATTTTTTGAGAACATGTTACGCCTACTTGATATCTCTTAAGGTGTACGTATGTGAAGAACCTTGAAGAAATAATAAAATTCATTCGAGCGACAAAAACACAGTATATGATGATGAAAAATACATTTATTTTTTAATGTATACATGTACACTGATAGTCCGACAGAAAACTTTATGACTCCGTTTGATATTATCAGTGGGACTTTTGCTGCTGCATCACTGATGACAGAGATTTTACATCAGGTTTATATTTCGTGACCTTCAGAGATATGCACGAGCTACTACTTTCATCCGTCAGGCTACTCCTATTATGAGACTTAACAAAATTCATCACTGAGAACAAAGATTCACAAGCGTATGTGGATGAAACCAAAACACTGGTTGGATCTAGGAAGGCAGGGAGAGTTAAGGCAGAGGCATAGAAATTGCTCTTCCCCTCTCTCGTCAATCCATGTCTATGGTCTTTAAGATAACTTGTTATGTAAAATTATTTATGTATCTAAGATGCACCTACACTGAATTTATCTGAAAAATAAAAAAAGTCGATATTAAGAAAAAAATTGTAAATGGAAGATAATAAGAGAGGGTTTTGCGTGCCAGCAAAAGTTACTGGCGTGCCATGTTTGGAACGCGTGCCAGGGGTTGCCCACCCTGGACTAGGTGGCTTTTCTGCTGGTCTCCTTAGATTGATTTGTGTAGCTGCAGTCAGATGAATGGCTGCCCGGTTCCAGCTGGCCTCGCTCAGGCCTGACTGTTGCGGCTGGAAGTGGGCTGGAGAACATGGCCTTGCGTTTTGGAAGCTAGAGCAGCTTCCTGGTAGCATGGCAGCCTCAGGCGGCATTCTGAGGGGGCTCCAGTGCTTGCTGTCAAACCTCTGCTTGCTTTGCAGTTGCTGATTTCCAGCTGGCCACAAGTCTCAGGACCAGTTCTAGAGTCACTGTGGGTGTGGCAGACTACGCCTTGGTGGGGGAGGAGTAGCAAAGAATTTGTGGCCATTTCACAAGCCCAACCTTGCTTGCTCTGCTTCTTGGGCTAATACTGGGCCTGGAAAGAAAAGGTTCTGTTGGTTTCTCCTGTTTCCTGTATCACTGATACCTTCTGTAGTCCAACTTATGAGCTGTTAAGGAATTAGAGATATTTTTGTTTGAACTAAAAATTGGAGAGAAGGGTAATAGCTGATTTATGTATCTAAGATCCTTCTTGTGAGGGAGGGACTGGTTCCCGGGTGTGGAACTGACTGGAGAGCAGATGCTCCTCCCTTTGAGGAAGGCTTGCCATGTGAGATGGTAGTTTTATTCCCCGTCCCCAGCCTGCTGCGTTGTTAGAAGCAGTAAAGCAGGAGTCGGGCAAGCACACACCTGGGGCTTTGAGGGAGCATTTTCCTTACTGACTTACATGATTCCTGTGGGTATAAAAAATCTCTGATTCTGGAACTCGGAAAGACCATTGTGCTTCGTGTACGGAGAGAAGGGATGAGGCTGGGTGGTGCTAGGGAAGGAAGTACTGTGCGCAGAGTGGAAGAGCTGCCATGCACAGCCTTTGAACTTACTTGGTGTAATAGCTCAGCTTTCCCTGCTGGAGCCCTGAGAGCTGGTGCAGGGTTGCTGTGCAGAACGTCTCTCTTTAGCAGTGTCAGGGGCTGCTGCATCTGGAAGGCAGGCTTTCTATGGGTCTTCTTAGGTTAGATTGAAAGGAATTGATGTAGGAAGTACGTGTGTACAATTGCTTCAGCAGCTGTAGATTAAATGGTCAGCTTTTTCACTTAATGAAAAGGATTGTGGTACTTTTCCTGTATCATGTGTTTTGCCCTACCCCAAACGTGATTTTGAGGTCTCCTGCTTTTATAACAGGACCAGGCCCATGTGGAGCGATTGTCTGCCAGTGGAGAGCTCCATGTCAGTAACTGATCAGAATATGAGCCGATTTCCTTTCCTTCATTACTTTCTTTGTTGTGGAGGGGATGTGTAAAGGCTACCACTCAACTGTTGTAAAGCTGCTAAGCAAGAAGTTTGATGTAGGGACTGGCTTTGACTTCCAATGTTACCAGACTGACCACTTTGGTCAATGGTGTTTCTATGGAGCCCACCCCATATCCAGCCCTTGGTTTCTTTGAAAACTGAGAGGAAGGCAATAAGCTGCAGACACAGAATGGTGTTAAGTTTTCGGTGGGAAGCAACATTTAAGCTACAAATAAATAAGCCAGCTAAAGCAGAGAGTGCTTTGCTGACTGGTGCATTTATAAGCTGGAAAATTGTGACAAACCTCAACCCACCAACTGTGTAGCCCATTGGCTCTGCTTGGGCCTTCAGTGTTCTTCCTGATAACAATAGTAACCATGGCCCTGGCCCGTGTGCTGGTTGGTTGGGTGAATGGTCGCTGGTTAGATTCCTTATTGGGGCACATGCCCAAGTTGTGGGCTTGATCCCCAGTAGGGAGTGTGCAGGAGGCAGCCGATCCATGTTTCGCTCTTAATGGATGTTTCTCTCTCCCTCCCTCTCCCTCTAAAAAATCAATGAAAAAATCTTAAAAAAAATAATGATTATGTTATTCTGATATGATTGCCGAGCATTCCTGATTCTCATTTCCACTTGCCATTATAAATGATTCTGCAGCATGAACTGCTTTGTCTTTGATTCAGTGTTTTATAACATTTGAGTGTTACATTATCTGTGCTGATTTGTCGTTTTCTTACTTTTCAGAATGGACTGCTGAATTATGAAGTATTTCAGACCCAATACCAGGACTTCACTCTGCCATTCACTCCTTTATCGTCTACTAGTTATTTAAATTGAACTTTTAATATCCTGCCAGCTGCTCTTCAGACACACATGGTGCATTGTTGCCATTCCCCGGATTGCATCTTTGAAACACAGGCTCTTAGTAACCTTCAACGAACAAAGAGGCAACCTCCCGGGTACACTAACTGGGAGGGTGTCACCCTGACTGCCCTCTAGCTTTTGCTGCATCTCAATTTGAATTCACCATGGAGCCTCGCATGGAGTCCTGCCTGGCACAGGTGTTGCAGAAGGATGTGGGGAAACGACTGCAGGTTGGCCAAGAACTCATAGACTATTTCTCAGACAAACAGAAGTCTGCTGACCTTGAGCATGACCAGACCATGTTAGATAAACTTGTGGATGGACTCGCTACCTCTTGGGTGAACTCTAGCAATTACAAGGTAAGCTGTGCATTAGAAGGCACTCCAGGTGGCTGGGCTGCTTTCGTGGATCCGAATTGGTCCTTAGGAAAAAAATCTTTGTGAGCAATCAGCATGATTCCTTGGCTTCCAGTAAGACACCTGGTCAGGTTATGGCTCCTAGACATGTCATTCTAGAAGAAGTAGAGTTTCCTTTGATTTTTGTTTGAGATCAAGAATTGTTATCTTTCAGCACTTTGAGAGAAGGCCAAGTGAACCGGTAAAGAGAAGGTCTTATGTTGGAAAGCATTTGCAACCTTAGGGTAGAAGTGAATGTTGTGTCCTGCACCGGGTGGGTCATGATACCTTGGTGAGTGGCCCTTCCTGAATGAGGAATGTCTTCCTGATTTTCTCGGGGACTGTTCTGTGTGATGGCCTGGAGCTTAAACTTCAGTTCTAAAAACCAAGGCTTTCCGTGCCCTTGCCCGGTGGAAGGTGCAGGCAGGGTCCTCTGACCAGCTGAGTTGTGAAGGTTGACCATATATACCAAGGACTGAGTTTTCGTGAATAAAAACTGGGCTGGACTTGAAGTGCAGAAGAGGTGTCTTGCTCTCTCTGCCTTCTCCCTCCCATGAAATGCTTTTAGTTTGACAAGAGGGTGGCCTTTTTGGGTCAAGGTTGTATTGCCAATAGGTGCTGTAGTCATTGTGAAAGGGGCTTACAGAAACAGAATCTTTTGTGCTTTTTCATTGACCCAGTCTTCTGAGATTTATTTGGACTTGAAAACTAGTGCTTACAGTATTCCTTTGTTTACTTGAGTATACTATACACTGTTTTCCAAATACATTAAACCTTGGTCTGGTCTAAGAGTCAGCAGACTTTATACTTATTAAGAGTGTTACATAGGAATCTAATATTTCACCTACAACTGGATATAAAATTTATTTAAAAGCTGGGCTTAAATTTTACTCCATCCATCTGTTTATTCACTTAGTTGAAGTTAACAAGTGCTCCTTCCCTGCTGGCATTGGTGCTGAAGGTAGGAGTGTCAAAGAGGTCCAACTCGGGTCATCACACTTTTGAGGGCTGTGAAGTCACCTGTGCATGTTGGAAGCACAGCCCCACCTCTCTTTCTCTGTACGTGTTAGGGTGCTTCTGGCTGACCGTAACCAAAAACGGACTCAGTTGACTTAGTTACTATTAGAGTAATTTCTTCTAAGAATTTAAGAAGTCCACAGTGTCAGGGAAGAAGAGTGCCTGCTGTGTCTTCACCTGAGACGAAATCTTTCTTAGACGCTCCCAGCAGACTTTACATCGCAGAATGGCTTTGCGTGCTTCCCCCAGCATCACTGGAAAATGGATAGTGTCCATGCTTGCTTTTGACTGTCATGCTTAACCTCCTGTGTTAAGAAGGGGGCCGGCCTCCGCTGAATGAAGCCCGTGGCCGTGTGAAAGGGGGAATTTGCGAACAGTGTCAGACTCCTGTTAGGAAGGTTAGGCAGGGGACCTAGGTACCATGGGTGTTAACTGAGTAACCTACAGTCGCTACACTGCATGAGCTTTCTCAGCCTCTCCAAGCTTTAGTTTCCTCGTCCATAATGTGGGATGATCGAGTTATTGTAAGCACTAAATGAGAGCATATACCATAACCTTATCACATGCCTGCCACATAACACACACTCAGACATTAGCAATTGTTATCAAGACTTGGTTCCTGTCTTCAAGGAGCTCAGAGTCTAGGTGGGGGTGAGCACTGATAAAGAAGCAAATGGTTAGCAGCGGTCCTCAAACTTTTTAAATAGGGGGCCACTTCACTGTCCCTCAGACCGTTGGAGGGCCAGACTATAGTTTAAAAAAAAAACTATGAACAAATTCCTATGCACACTGCACATATCTTATTTTGAAGTAAAAAAACAAAACGGGAACAAATACAATATTTGTATTTGCATGTGGCCCATGGGCCGTAGTTTGAGGACTCCTGGGTGTGTGCAGTAATGGAGATTTTCAGAATATGGTGGGAAGACAGAAGAGAGTAGTAGCGCTGCCAGGAGGAATCCAAGATTTTGAAGATTGACTAGTTTTTTCAGAATAGCACTTGCAAGTAGAGTTTTTCTTTAATTCACCACGGAGCCTCGCATGGAGTCCTGCCTGGCACAGGTGTTGCAGAAGGATGTGGGGAAATGACTACACGTTGGCCAAGAACTTATACACTATTTCTCAGACAAACAAGGTGACATTTTCTGGGCTGTGGCAGCTCGAGGGAATGAGGGAAACTTATGCTGAGCAGCTTTCCTGCTTAATCTCGACAACTTTTATTCAGGCAACACTGCAGTCACCTGCACACTTAGTGGGCCTTGTGCGAACAAACACCAGTGCTTTTTGTGAGTATAGTCCCATAGCCCTTTCTTCAGTTTTAGAATCCCCAAAGCTCTGGAGATTTAGTGTTTTTTACTTGTCATTTGACTTGAAGTGAACTGAGGTGCAACTGTTACAGTATAGTCTTTATTTGCTTAGGATGTATTTTACTGCAAAAGTATGAATATGTTTGATTGTGGGTTGCTGTCCCAAGTTCTGTACAAAGGTGTGCACACACACACATATATGTATGTATGTATGTGTGTGTGTATATATATATGTGTGTGTGTATATGTATAAATACATATTTCTATAGCTATGTGCACTGTTTTAACTTGAAAAATTCATTGAGGACCTGTATTAACATTGTGGAATAATAATAATAGCCCAGATGGTTATGGGACATTTACTATGTACCAGAAAGTGTGCTAAATATATGTTCCTTTTTAACTTATAATTACCACTAGTAGCCCGGTGCACGAAATTTGTGCACATTGAAAGGGAATTAATTAGAGGAACGTAATTTGGACTCACTATCTAATATTAATAATATGTGAGCGTGAGGCAGTCCACGTTTCTGAAATTCAATGACATGAATTTTAGCTATTACTTTGCCAAAGAAATGGAATTTTCAGATATCATTTAAAAGAGCATTCAATTTAATATTAAAAACTCTGGCTACCAAGTCAGGTCTGTTTTCAATTTTTTGCCAGTGTTGTAAATTGTTCCTGCCCATTTGGGGTTGCATGTCATGGTTATGAATAAATCAGGCTTGCCATACCTCGTTATAATTGCCATAGCATCCTGATATCGCTGCTGCATATTTCCGGGACTACCCTCAGAAGATGATGGAAGTATAATCATTTTACCAATCGGCACATTGTCATTTTCAGATCTAGATTTGAGATAATCCATCAAACCACTGTATTTTTCAACTCTCAACTTAGATTAGTTTGCTTTGATGAAATTCATCCGATTGGCCTCCATTTTTGAATACGAATCTATGATAAACTGTTGAGTTAATTTTCCTGCATTTAAAATAGGATTGCCGTAACCGGTTTGGCTCAGTGGATAGAGTGTCGGCCTGCGGACTGAAGGGTCCCAGGTTCGATTCCGGTCAAGGGCATGTACCTTGGTTGCGGGCACATCTCCAGTAGGGAGTGTGCAGGAGGCAGCTGATCAATGTTTCTCTCTCATCAATGTTTCTAACTCTCTATCCCTCTCCCTTCCTCTCTGTAAAAAATCAGTAAAATATATTTAAAAAAATAAAAAAATAAAAACATTTAAAAAAAATAAATAAAATAAAATAGGATTGAATGTGTCTCGCACAGAGAGATGAAATAATACTGCATTTGTGTGACTCGTGTCCTTACATTTTGTCTAGTATTATTGTTGATTACACTGTTGTCTCTGAGTCTTAATGCAATATCTGTTCCCCAGCCTTTTTCACCATGTGGGAAAAGAATAGGATATGTCAT